GCCAAGAAGCTGATTATTTAGAGAAAATTCACCTCAGCACTGTGTAACAATGCCAGCTTGGACATCACTAAAGGCTAACTAAGATATGTAAACACTTTAAACTTGAGAGATGAAAGGCATCAGAAAAGCTATCAACCATCCTAACCGAGAGAGAAATGGTACTATCCGACAAACTGTGGGGATAACACCTTGCAATAAAATTTTTGAAAAGATCAAATGGCTCAGTCATGTGGTTAAAAATTAACCTCAAAATTTACAAAGACAGGCTATACACTGAAGTTATATATATAATGAAAACAAAAAGCCGCCAAGGAGAAGTTGAATTGATGACATAAAGTATTTTTTTCCATCCACGCCAAATGAAAATTAAACATTAAATTGTAAACCTATTTCTCTCCACGAGGTAAAGACAAAACTGAAACTTAATGAAGATGAATGTATCAAATAGCGTAGTGAATAGTGCTTTTTTATCACCACATTTTTTTCATGTTGCAATCGCAGTGTCAACAAAAGAGCGTACAGAACACGAATCTTCACACTAAATCTTCATCAAGTTGTCTATGTAAGCGAATATCTCGCGCTGTCTTCTTGCTGTTTCGATACTTGTGAAGACCAGTCGACACCTGGGGTCTGTGGCCTTGGTTCTACTTCCGTCCCCATGTTGGGGTGGAATATTTCGTTTTTTTTTTTAAAGCCCCACCCTAGTTTTGTTGCCAGGGGCCCTAATATAACCTAACTGTTGAACACGGTTTCCGTGGCCTCTCCACAGATGATTCTTATCCGAATGGTGGCACTTGGTGTCAACTGGTGCTAATCGCTCAGTGTGATATCCTGGTGGGTAATAATTTGGTCAGTTAGTCAGTCAGTCTGTTGCCAACATAACCTAAGCCACCTTTACCCTATGACATTTTCTCATTCAGACAGTTTGGAGCCGTCACTCATATGAATTTGTAAAATCCACTTACATGCAAATTAGAACCTATAACAATATAATCCACAGGCTCTTAGGTAACTTAAAAAGTACAGAACTCTCTTCCACGCCCCTAGGCGTCGTATTGGGTGACCTGTGCTAGACCTCTATATTATAGACGAATAGACACCTGGTGGGTGATGCAGTTAGCATCATAGAGGCCACCTTTACTTACAAGGACTTTACCTGGTACCAATTTTAGGATGTGTCTTTAGACAACTTGAGCCCCTCCTCCTCTTTTGCCCCTCCCCTCCAATGTTTGATAGAGACGCAAACTCGCCCCAATATAACTAACCACACTCACAAAAACAAACACACACACACAAACATACACACACTCACACACACATAAAAAGTTCTAAGCTGCCCCACAGCCATGTATAAAGTTATCTTTTTTGTTTACAAAAGTTAGAATTTTGGGCCCCAAACCAGAGCGACCAGAACGCATGTTTCCCAGGGACCTACCAATTTTATATTTTCTCCATCAGCAACTAATAGAACCTAAAGCACAGCTCAACTAATTCTGGTTTTAAGATCTTACCTTTATCCTTTATAATAAATCAGGCAGTTGCAGCTGCAACAAACACATTAGATAAGAAAATAAACATTTTAAAGCTTTGTAATGACTTCTGCTACGACAATTCAAATAAAACTAAAATCAACCATGTTTCACACTAGACCTACCACATGGAGTGGTTACTTTCGGTAGTTCTCGTGTATTCTTACTGGATCTGACATGACCGTTTGTGCAGTAGTTGTTTCAGTGGTTCTCATGTATTCTAACTGGATCTGACATGACCGTTTGTGCAGTGGTTGTTTCAGTGGTTCTCGTGTATTCTAACTAGACCTGACATGACCGTTTGTGCACTGGTTGTTTCAGTGGTTCTCGTGTATTCTAACTAGACCTGGCATGACCGTTTGTGTAGTGGTTGTTTTAGAGGTTCTCGTGTATTCTAACTAGATCTGACATGACCGTTTGTTCATGCTTGTTTCCGTTTGTGTATTCTAACTAGTGACATTGTTTTGCAGTGGTTGCCGTGGTTTCGTGTATTCTAACTAGATCTGACATGACCGTTTGTGCAGTTTTTGTTTCAGTGGTTCTCGTGTATTCTAACTAGACCTGACACGACCGTTTGTGCAGTGGTTGTTTCAGTGGTTCTCGTGTATTCTAACTAGACCTGACATGACCGTTTGTGCAGTGGTTGTTTCCGTGGTTCTCGTGTATTCTAACTAGACCTGACATGACCGTTTGTGTATTCTAACTAGCAGTTTTTTGTTTCAGTGGTTCTCGTGTATTCTAACTAGACCTGACATGACCGTTTGTGCAGTGGTTGTTTCAGTGGTTCTCGTGTATTCTAACTAGACCTGACATGACCGTTTGTGCAGTGGTTGTTTCAGTGGTTCTCGTGTATTCTAACTAGACCTGACATGACCGTTTGTACAGTGGTTGTTTCAGTGGTTCTCGTGTATTCTAACTAGACCTAGACCGTTTGTACAGTGATTGACCGTATTCTTGACATGTGTACAGTGGTTGTTTCAGTGGTTCTCGTGTATTCTAACTAACTAGACCGTTTGACATGTTTCACTCGTATTGTGACATGACAGTGGTTGTTTCAGTGGTTCTCGTGTATTCTAACTAGACCTGACATGACCGTTTGTACAGTGGTTGTTTCAGTGGTTCTCGTGTATTCTAACTAGATCTGACAGACCGTTTGTGAGTGGTTTCGTGTAGACCTGATTGTTTCAGTGGTTTCTCTCGTGTATTCTAACTAGACCTGACATGACCGTGTTTGTACAGTGGTTGTTTCAGTGGTTTTCAGTGGTTGTTTCGTGTATTCTAACTAGACCTGACAGGACCGTTTGTGTAGTGATTGTTTCAGAGGTTCTCGTGTATTCTAACTAGACCTGACATGACCGTTTGTACAGTGGTTGTTTCAGTGGTTCTCATGTATTTTAACTAGACCTGACATGACCGTTTGTGCAGTGGTTGTTTCAGAGGTTGTCGTGTATTCTAACTAGTGGACTGTTTGTGTTGTGTTTCAGTGGTTCTCGTGTATTCTAACTAGACCTGACATGACCGTTTGTACAGTGTTGTTTCAGTGGTTCTCATGTATTTGAACTAGATCTGACACAACCGTTTGTGTAGTGATTGTTTCAGTTGTTCTCGTGTATTTGAACTAGATCTGACACGACCATTTGTGCAGTGGTTGTTTCAGTGGTTCTCGTGTATTTGAACTAGACCTGACATGACCGTTTGTACAGTGGTTGTTTCAGTGGTTCTCGTGTATTTCAACTAGACCTGACACATAGCCGTTTGTACAGTGATTGTTTCAGTGGTTCTCGTGTATTCTAACTAGACCTGACATGACCGTTTGTACAGTGGTTGTTTCAGTGGTTCTCGTGTATTCTAACTAGACCTGACATGACCGTTTGTACAGTGGTTGTTTCAGTGGTTCTCGTGTATTCTAACTAGACCTGACATGACCGTTTGTACAGTGGTTGTTTCAGTGGTTCTCGTGTATTCTAACTAGACATGACATGACCGTTTGTACAGTGGTTGTTTCAGTGGTTCTTGTGTATTCTAACTAGACCTGACATGACCGTTTGTGTAGTGATTGTTTCAGTGGTTCTCGTGTATTCTAACTAGACCTGACATGACCGTTTGTGTAGTGATTGTTTCAGTGGTTCTCGTGTATTCTAACTAGACCTGACATGACCGTTTGTACAGTGGTTGTTTCAGAGGTTGTCGTGTATTCTAACTAGACCTGACAGGACTGTTTGTGTAGTGATTGTTTCAGAGGTTCTCGTGTATTCTAACTAGACATGACATGACCGTTTGTACTGTGGTTGTTTCAGTGGTTCTCGTGTATTCTAACTAGACATGACATGACCGTTTGTACAGTGGTTGTTTCAGTGGTTCTCATGTATTTGAACTAGATCTGACACAACCGTTTGTGTAGTGATTGTTTCAGTTGTTCTCGTGTATTTGAACTAGATCTGACACGACCATTTGTGCAGTGGTTGTTTCAGTGGTTCTCGTGTATTCTAATTAGATCTGTCTTGACCGTGTGTACAGTAGAAGAAGAACCCTAGCCTCTGTCAAACCATCTGGTCTGCTCTTCCTTCTGGCTGTCCATGAAATTATAAGGATTCTTCTGTGAAATCTTATCTTTGAGGCCTCTAAAATAGTGGACTATCTGTGACTACACATCGACCGTCTGAGAATTAAAGAATAACACGTTGTTGGTTCTAGGCCCCTGTTTTCCTAAAAGGCAGCTAATTAAGGATTTGCTGAAAACAGATTCATTCGACTGAAAGGCGCAGGTAACGCAGACTATCTGTAAACTACACCACAACGCGCCAACTAAATTTTTAAGGCGACGCATAAGAAAAAAAGAATATTATAACGCCACGAGCAACATGCAGATAATTTTAAATCAGTTCGACGCTGTCGAGGGTAAGTTAAACACAAGCTGGCATTATCCTAAACATTTAATGTACGTAATGGCCAGCATCCAGTAGAAGTCTAGGAAGTTAAAGCCAAACATTATCCAATCACTGAATTCTATGTTTAGTTTACATCAACTGGTGGCTTGTGGGAAACTTTATACCGTCCACATCTTGAAAAGATTGTATTGAGGAGAAAGTAATTTGGTTTGCTATTCTTCCTTATTCTTCTCCTCCCCTTTTCCCCACCACACATTATCATCATCATCATCATCATTACCACCATCACTATTATCATCACAGCACAATCATCGTATTTTTGTTTTGTTTTGTTTGAATGACTCGAGATAGAGGGAGCCCACCCTAGTAAAATATACACTGAGGAATGAATTCATCATGGACACATAGGGCTCACTAAACATCTGGCAAGCACACACACACACACACACACAAACACACACACATCACACCGCGCACATAAGTATAGACGTCATAGTATCCTCCCCCGCGCCACACTACAAACCACCCAGCACGCACAAATATACTGTTGCGCCATTTTGACAATGTTTCTTTTTCATCACAGAGGGTAAAGTGGAAGTGACCAAAGACGGACAATGGCTGACCTACATGGGACCTGGCAAAGTGTTTGGAGAACTCGCCATCTTATACAACTGCACTCGCACAGCTACTGTCAAAGGTAATCAACTTGTTGCAATCTCTCACAGGTCGATCAGTAAGCTGTCAGTGATGGCACACATACGATGTTGATTTGTTCTGTTCAGTCTAATGAACCCAGCTGAGAAGAACTGATACAAGAAACGACATTAACCTCTCAGGACATTCCCATAAGTTTCCCGTTCTCATCTTCAGCAAATTAGCTCAAACTTTAAATTCCAAAGATACCAGTGGCAGTCAGATTGGATATTCAGCTTGCCAGTCCTGAGTGTTTAGCGTCTGCTAGATTTCCTGCTCACTCCTTACTGCACCATTCTCCCCAGAGTGATGATCTATGTGTGCTTTTGCACTTTTCACTAGTTCCCAAAGGCCTTGTCCACATTTAGCTTTTCATATATAATTTACCACCAGGCGGTGCTGTACACGCCATTATATCTTGCTGTAAATTTCCCAACACACCCGCATTTCCTTAAGAAATAAAAGCAAAAAGACTCGAATCAACCAGAATCTCTGAAATATAATGGAAATAATAATAACTTTACTGTTCATTTTCTTATGTGACGGTACTCTTTAATTTAATGTAAAATGAAGTCTTTTTGTCAGTTTTGCTTTTCCTTTAGTCTTATAGGAAATTTAACTGAAAAACCCATGTTAAAATTAATTGTAACAGTAACTCTCCTGTTCGGTATATTTTCCACACTATATTTACCGTTCATTCTTGTTTTATTAACTCCTATGGTATGTCATGTTATGCTATCACAATCAACGTCTTTGCACATTGGGCATCCCTATGCGTGCTCAGTAGCCATTTCTAGGTACCAATACTTAATAACTCTTATATTCTGTATAATTTTGCATTAACCCCTATATTAATTCTAGTTGAATATTAGGTCGTCTATGAAATCTAACAGCAGTATTAACTCAATCCAGTTGCAACCTAAACACTCACGTACAGTGCTGGATTTAGTCATGAGCTAAATAAGCTCCTACTTGGGGCCTTACAATGTGAGAGGGCCTCAACAAATTCCTATTTTTTTATCAGTGCCATTTTCTTTTTATGTATTTTAAACATAATTGGGTGCTCTCTAAATATCCTAACCACAAACGGGAAATCCACAGATCACGGGACAGTCTAATATTTCAGAGGGTGGTAGATAGGCTGTATGCAGTCGTAGGACCTGGGCTGCATGCAGTCGTGAGCCCTAGGTTGCACTCTCTCGGGGGACGTAGGTGGGTTGCGGTTAGGGCCAGTTCTAGATGTTTTGTGGTCGTTCAAAGCATCAGAAAGCCGGGAAACCAAGTCTTACCATCCTCTAAAATATTGGACTGTCCCATGACGTCACAAAACAACCCATAATTGTCTTTTCAAAGAATTATATAATGTAATTTCTGTGATTTTATAAGCAAATTATTTTTTTTAAACCAACAATTAAATGACAATATATTTCTGTTATCCATGTATTTAATAACGTATATTATTTTTTTTTAGTTTTCTGAAATTAGCAAGTGTAATTTAAAACAGTAGGGACCTCAGTGCTTCATATAGCGCCTAATCAACTCCAAACCAGGCCCTCCATCCGTAAAATCTAATTTCAATATAGTTGTTCTGTTAAATCTAATTTTTACTATAGGTCTTCAGTAGAGTGGTCGGCTCTGTGGCTAAGTCGATGCGAACGCTTCGCTTCGTAATGCCCGGATGCCGGGTTCGATCCCAGCTGCGGGCAATGCGTCTTGCGTTGGTTTCGACAGTGGTATCAAGAAAGCCGACCGTCCAGAAGCAATGACAAACTACTGGACGTAAATTTACCTAGAGAAACCACACAACAGCCAGGGGCTGTTAGGGTTGGTTCTGCAACGTCCTGTAAAGGATACGCAACAACCTTTAGTAAATTATACCTGCAAGATATTTGTGAACTATTCGTCTGAGAACTATTCAACTGAGAACTATTCATCTGAGAACTATTCATCTGAGAACTATAACTGTAATCTGATGTATACAAATTATATTCAAAGCAAATTCAAACAAAAGGTGTACTAACAGCTGCAGGAAAAAAGAAGCCCTCGGTAATAAAAGTACGGAAACACTACGTTTGTATTATGGCGTAAACATTCACTAATTCGATTGTTACTTATTCTCCATGATGTTTTAAAATCTGTTTCTTGATGTAAAAAAAAAAAAAAGGTGAAGATAAAGAAGAAGAGAAAGAGGGGAACAAGGAAGAAAGGAAGAAAGGGAAAAAGAAATAAAAAAATAATTAATTGGAAGGAAGAAGCAGTCAGAGGAAAACAACAAAAAAGGGCTGACTCCGGAAATGGGGAAAAAAAAGCAACAGTAGTTCTCAAATGATATGTCCGTCTCCCATGTTATCGTAGATTTGCTGGATCAGCACCACTGGGTAGTGAACTGATACATGACAAGACAGATGTGGTCAAGGCCCGTTGGGAACAAGCAACGGAATCAGTAGAGAAAGAAGATTATTATGGCCTAGAGAGAATGAGGCACCTGGGTGTAACCAGAAGGTTTGGCCGGCTCACTACACTCAGAGGAAAGGCAAAACGGACTTTAAACCAAATTGTGACCGGTACCATCAGTATTGGAACTCTGCGCTGGCTGCTGAAGATGAGGATGGAGCATGCATGGGAATCCCCCGAGTGCTGTGATGTTAATTCTTGACTCAACTCAACTCAACCCATGTGTATGCATTTTTAAAAAATCTCTCCCTATCCCCGTAATCCATCTAAAAAATTAAGTTAGTTTCTGTTACTTACTGCTGCATAGCCATCTATAGAGCTGTAACATTATGTTTCCCTCCCTAGCACTGACCAACTGCCGGTTGTGGGCCATCGACAGACACTGTTTCCAGAGTATCATGATGAGAACCGGTCTACTGCGGCACACTGAGCATATGGACTTTCTCAGAAGGTAAGACAATCGACACCGTTGTTTATGGCTTCACGCCAAGTAACAGCCTGGAATGTCCGGGTCGCAGGTCTAAATATTTTTGTAAGAAGAGAGTATTAGGGAAACTGACGCCGGCAAGAGGTGATCAAACCCTGCTAAACATTACCTGTGGAGACAACATCCAGATGTTATCAAAATGTAACACCCCGTGTCCCATCAAACCAAAACTCAGTCTATCTCAGGGTGCTGTTAGGTTCTTTGAATAACAGTTTTCGAGTTCACGAAGAGTTGAAGTAAGAACAGTCTGCAGCAGGATAAACGATGTAAATGAGAGATGATGGATTGAACTGGAAACTCCCTGTGTGGTTTCTGATGTCCCGGTTTTTGCGGGGAAAAGAATAGACCCACTGCCCCATAACAAGCAAGTCGTAAAATGCTGCTAGTTAGGGGTGTTTTTGCCTGAGAAACAATGAACCAACAACCATTACTCAAATAAGCCAGAACAGAACGGATGTGCACGCAAAGCTAAACATCTGAAACAAGACTACAACCCAAAGTGAACGAATAACCAGAAATTTCAGCAGGTTAACACGAAGAAGAAGAAGAAGAAGAAGAAGAAGAAGAAGAAGAAGAAGAAGAAGAAGAAGAAGAAGAAGAAGAAGAAGAAGAAGAAGAAGAAGAAGAAGAAGAAGAAGAAGAAGAAAAAAAAGAAGAAAAAGAAGAAGAAAAAGAAGAAGAAGAAGAAGAAGAAGAAGAAGAAGGAGGAGGAGGAGGAGGAGAAGAAGAAGAAGAAGAAGAAGAAGAAGAAGAAGAAGAAGAAGAAGAAGAAGAAGAAGAAGAAGAAGAAGAAGAAGGAGAAGAAGAAGAATAGGAGGAAGAGGAAGAAAAGGAAGAAGTTGAAAAAAGAATCCAAGTGAGTAGATGGAGTGAATAATTATTTTCTAATCAATTCCAAACGCAGTCCTATCAATACAGCTAGCAACTGATTGAAACAAATGAAAAATAATGTATAATTTACTTGTTTGGTTGACTTCTCTTAGTTGTATGAATAATGATTGAATGAATGACTGCTTTCTTGATACCTCACTTGACCTGCCTTATTTGTTCCAAAGGAAAGGTAACAGTAATACTTTACTAAGCTTGATACTTTGAAATCATCGCTATCCAAACGGAAGTGAATTCATCTGCAACGCAAGGTAACGTTGCCCGTGCGTTACGATCCCTCACTTGACCTGCCTTATTTGCTCCAAAGCAAAAGTAATAGTAATTCTTTACTAAGCTTGATGCTTTTAAATTATCGCTATCCAAACGGAAGTGAATTCATCTGCAACGCACGGATTTATTCAGGGGGAGAGAAGAAAAGAAAACTTGGCCATATCTTAAAGGGACTGGCTCTATGTGCCTGTGGGTCTGCTTATGTTAACAGATATGTTTACAAACGAGAAGCCAAACGAAACCTGTCGTAACTGAAGTTTCCCCTTCAAAGCACATTTGTTAAACGTTTATTCGTTAGTAATTAATTTATCGAGAGAAAACTGCAAATTAAGACTAATCTTCTCATGATCTGTTTTTTTTTTTTTTTTTTGATTTCTCTAATTATTCTCTGTTCTATCTTTAGACGTCTCAAAGACGTGAAGGTGTTTAGAAAAGAATCACTATAGGTTTTTCAAAAAGACGTGGCCAGGTTTTTAAAAACCTTCAACTCATTTGAATCGTTCGTTGTAACTTGTTGAAATTTTTCATGCAACCAACCTATTAATGTCAGCGTCTGTGGCCTAGGCTTTGCGAAGGAGATCTGTAATGCCGGGGTGCTGGTTTCTATCCCAGCTACAGACAGTTTGTCTTGCGTTGGTTTCGACAGTGGTACCGAGAGCTGACCGTTTAGTTGCAATGGCAAACTACTGAACGTTAAATATGCCCAGAAAAACTACAACAGCCACAAAATGCTGGGATTGGTTCTGCAACGATTTGTAAAGAATACCCAACTAACTTTTTTTTTTCAACCAGAAATCATGTATGGCCTTGTAGAAGAACAATTATAATGTAAACATTTATTAAGTGTTTTTTTTTTTTTTTTTGCCCTTTTTGTTGTTGTTGCGTTAAATGACAAACCAGAAACCGTTTTGAAGCATACGGTTTTTAGTTTGTGGAGTGACGTGCATTTTGCAAAAGCACCATTTGCATGTTTTAGAGGTGATCTGGAAACAGAATAGGACCGGCAAAAACTGCATTTTATCAAATGAAAAACATCTTGTGCAATATATCCTTGTCACTGAGAGTTAGAAAAAGAATTCTTGCTTGCTACATACATCCAGTTTTAACATATGGCTGTAAATCCTGGACAATCGGTAGGCAGGCCAAACAATTTCTAGAGGCCTCAAAGATGTGGTTTTACAGAAGAATGATTAGAATACCTTCGACAGCCAAAAAAGTGCAACCAAGAGGTTTTGAAAGAGGCGGGAGCCCGAAGACAACATATCACAGACATCAGAAGGAGACAGTCATCGTTTTGCGGCCATGTTATGAGAAGAGGGAAAATAGAACATGCTGTGACCAATGGAAAGATCTGTGGAAGGAGGGATAGAGGAAGACAACGAGAAAAGATGTTTGACAGTCTTGTTGCATGGCATGGAGGTGTGTCGGCACACGAACTGATACATGCTGCAGGGGATCGCAGATTATGGAGAGGCATGATCGCCCAAGCCAGTCGGCAAGGCACCTGATAATGATGAGAGGTAATCTATGCAAGGCGCACTTTTTTTTTTTTTTAATGTACTGAGAGTAGTTTATGTACTGTCGTCAACTCATTTACACAATTATAACTCAGTTTAAAGGCGTTTCACTCTGAGGTGGTCAGTCTCCTGCATTATCCTTACATGAGTTACATGAACACAGTATTTCATCGTATGCGGGTTAGGCTATCGAAATAATCACAACACATTGCTACACATGTGAATGATTTCCAAAACAGAATCTCTTCTGGTGATTCAAATTAAACGATTTGTGTCAATTACTGTATATTGTATTTTTTTTAAAAGGGGTGCACAATTTATTCGTCAAAAAAAAAAATACATAAAATAAATTTGCCACTTTAAGAAAACAGCAGCACCTGTGCAACTGTAAGTTATAAAATCAAAAAGAACAAGGGAAATCGAAGACCCCTCCCATCTATTCTTGTTGATCCGTACAGGAGTTTTATAATATTTTTTTTTTAAAGTCTGGCAGCACAACTTTTGGAACAGACTATAGTTCCCCTTCTTTCTTTCCACTATTGTGGTCAGCGGATCTCCGGATCGAATTTAAGTGGTTCATGATATCATTTACAAATTCATCTTTAGTAGGCAATTATTTTTGCTTTTTTAACATTTTTAAATTAAAATACTTTCTTAAGAACGACTATTAAAAGGTGTTTATCCGTGACATCTTTCGAAGATAACTTAGCTGAGACCACTATTCTAGCTGATTTGCTCGCTTGCTTCTTTTTGTGCTTTTTCTTCAGCGCTTACAATTAAAAATCAAGGCGGTGGGCACATTTTGCCAGGCTGTGATATCTGCCGCTTTCGCCACAACAGACTCGATTTCAGCAAAACTTACCTGTGGGTATAACCCCCCCCCCCTCCCCCTCTCGCCTTTACGCCTCTTCACCAAATTAGGTCCTAGAACCAACACAGAGAAGTGAGGATTCGAACAAATGATCATCAAGCCTGAAGGCGAGAGTGCTATCGATTGCGCCAGTACAGCTGCCAAGTTAAATCAGATTTATTTTATAACCATTGTCAGATTGTATTCTTTTATTTCTTCAGTGTTCCAACATTTCAAGGTCTTCCAGAAGAAACACTCAGCAAAATCGCAGATGTACTAGAGGCGGTAAGTAAATACACCTTTATTTTAATAGCAACAAAACTTGTCCTCTTCTTCTTCGCGTCTGGCCGGCTGTAAACTGTAAACTCCCGCGAAACGTTGTGGTTGTTCCTACACTTCTGGACTCTAGTCCTTTACAGAACCTGTTACGTACGTTTCCGTTTTACAGATCTGACTCAATTGTATACAGACTGTTGGTTTCCTGCCTCTCATTCAGAATCACTCCAACCTAGCTCCCAAATAGCTGACAACATGTGTTTGGGTAGGCAGAGGGTCTATTTTTGTTTTTTTTTCCCCCCACAATGGAACACCGGAACCCTCACGAGCAATTTCTCTTTTAATAATATCAACAATACTTTCTCTTTGGCAACATCACGTTCAACAACATATTTTCCTTTAGTAACAGCACATTTGCTTTTATCAACATCACATTCTCCATTACCAACAGCACATTCCTCTTTACTTAACAAGAGATTCTCTATTAAAAACAGTGCTCCTTTTTTAACAACACATACCTCTTTTCCAACAAAACTGCTTTATCAACAAGGTATTCTTCTCTAGCAAAAACACATTTCCTTTACCCAAAATTCACTCTTCTTTACTAACAACACTCCTCTGTCAAAATTTTTTTTTTTTTTTTACAAAAAGAAAAAAAAAATACATTTTCCTTTATTACCAACACGTTTCTTTATCAACAACACACTCTCCTTTAAAACAAAACATCTTCACTTAAAAGAAATCAAAAGCCCGGCTCTCTAGCGTAGTTGGCTAAACCGGATTGCGCGGAGACCGGGTGACGAACTCCTTGTGGTCCGGGTTCAACCCCGGGGGTAGGCAGAAAAGCCACATTTCTCCCAGATTTACCGTATTTACAATGGAATCAAGGCCGAAAGGTTGCGATATCCATAATACCGAGCCTAAGGGTTAACAACTCATGGCTTCTCGATACTAAAACAAAGAAACAAACAAAAGAAATCAAAGGGGCTTAAATTCAGTGCCCAGTAGTGGCCTAATTATGCTTCTTTTTCAGCCTATGAACCTGAGATCAACCCAGTATTACTGGTTCTTAATTTATAACGTACCCCAAACACGAAATCCCTGTGGAAAATCCACAGCTGACCTGACAATCCATTATTTAAAGGGGTGGAAGTGTGCTGTTTTTTTTTTTTTTTTTAGTGTTTATCTAGTGTCTTGTAATCCTAACCCTAACCCTAAACTTTGCAGTAGATAAATTACGAGAAACTACAACCTGAAAACCCTAGAATTTATTGGGAATGTCTCCCGTGACGTTGTCGAGACGTCAGGGGTAAGTTATAAATTAAGTACCCACTACATGGGTGCCGGTTAAAGTTCACAGTTATGGCCATTGTCTATGAGAACAACCGGAGAGCAAAAGAACTGGCCGTTATATCACATGATACCCTGGCCTAGAATTCCATATTATCGTGAAATAAGTTACCAAATTTTTCTTCTTTTTCTTTTCTTTACTTCTGAAATGCCTCGCGGCGTCAGGACAGGAAGAGATCTCCAGAACGGGGCCTTCTGCTTGCTTTTGTAAAAAGTACTTTTCAGTGTCGCCGATATTTCCGCGGTCCATTATCTGGGGGGTCGACCTCTGCTTTCGTTACCGTTCTATTTGTATAACATTGCTCTCTGTGGTGCCATATCTGATGCTAATGTTGTTACATGGCCAAACCATTTGATTTGCTGTCTGTCTATAAAGTTCAGTAATGATTCTGTGCTGACTTTCATTATTCAACAACAGCAACATCAACAATAAAATATTGTTTTTCGAACTTGATTTTTTTTCCAAGCTTTACAGTTTAAAACTTTTTTTTTAAAGCTCTACGGTTTAAAACCTCCCCAGAATGTTAACCTTTTTGACTCAAAGATGGGATCAGCTTTACACATTATTGTTTTTGACCCTAAAAAAATTACACTTTTAATATTAATACCCCCCCCCTTCCCCCCCCCCCCCTGGGTGGGGAGGGGGGGGGGGGACTGTATACATTGATTGTAATTCAAAGCTGAAAGAAAATCAACATAGTTTTAGTTTATTTAAAGACGAAAACGTACTTTACACGTTAATGTTTATTACGTCAAGATAGAAACACACAACTTTACCCACGATCTTTTTTGACCCAACGATAGGGCATTATCATTTAAAAAAAAAAAAACATATTTGAAAGACCAGCAACAACAAGACAAAAAACATTTGTACTGAAACATTGATGCCGCTGACAACAGTACCTCGTAAAAGCGTGTGCTATGTAATGTTTAGTAATGGAATTGAAAGGTCAATAATTAACAGAACACTTAACCAAGAGCTAATGAATTATCTGTCCCTGACTTGGCAGGCTCACTACAATTGTGGCGACTACATCATCAGACAGGGAGCTAGAGGCGATACCTTTTACATCATCGCCAAAGGAAAGGTCAGTAACCTTGCAAAACAAATTTAACCTTATTGTTCTGCTTTTTTCTCCTTTTCTCTGTCTTTTTAATGATTATTATTAACTATTCATGCGTTTATAATGGGTTGTAGTGTTCTTCTTCTTCTTCTTTCGCCTGAAATAGCTGATTTATGTCTACTGTGTTGTCTCTAGTAGGACCTTCACTGTCGTAATTCACTCAGCGACTTGTAAAGTTTGGCTTGCACCGGTGTTTCTCTTGGCCAAAAGTTTTGCCATATGTTGTATTTGTGACCGTCTTGGAAGACGTGGCCTGTTGTCACGGGTGCTAATCCACCTGTACACATGTATTGTTTAAGATTGGCCAGATGGGAGTTAAATGAATTACAGAATTTACAAAAGCTGAGAAGGAAAGTTTCCTATATGGCCTGCGTGGTCAATTCTCATCGTTTAGAAATAGCGCTCTCTCTTTCTACCCCTTCCCCTCCCGATTTCTTACTCTCTTTTATGCTCTGTCTGTCTCTCTCCCCTTGCTATCTCCCTCTCTTTATCTATTTTGACTTGCTTGCATCCTTCCCCATCCACCACTACTCTCTCCTTCGCTGCTGTTCTATAAGTCTCACCACCCTATTTATGCTGTTTGTTCTGAAATTCTAATAAAATTTACTCTTTTCATTTTGTCATATGACCTATAGGATCAAGTATAAAAATATTATTGAGAGTCACGACAACGTAGTGACTGATCGAACCATCGAAAGATGATTGTTCTTACAGATCAGCCCGAAATCTGACAGAAATACTTGCCTGAAGCATTCTCCCACCGATCCAAAAATCACTTCCTTTAGATTTTAGATAGTATCTGTCTGTGTGGATTTCGTGACCCCCTTTTAGGGGACATAAGAATATACCCACACCTTTCTAACAAGAATGTTATAAAAAGCGAAAAAATAGTGGTGCTTAATTCGAAGTCTCAGTGCACCCGCATGAGAGTCGAGGAACCGACAATCTGGATACACACAGGCATGATCTGTAAAACTGTTGGCCACGCAAAACTCAAACCCTGGAACAAGACCAAAGTCGAGAAGCGGAAGTACAACCAGAGAAACCACACAACAGCCAGGGGCTGCTTTGGTTGGTTTTGCAACGTCTTGTAAAAAGGATACGTGACTAACCTAACATAACTACATATAGACGTCTAAAACTCTGTGGTCGGGTTCCCTAGGCTATTAAGAAGGGAGGGGGGGGGGGCAGCCCTCTGAACCGTGTACTGAAGTTATACTTTTAATATGGCGAACAGGCCGAACAGGCTGGCTGGTCGCTGTGAAAAGTTGTTTACGTACTCAAACATGGATTAGACCCCTTCATCCTCTTTACTTATAAATTGTTTAAAAGGGCAAATATTTATGTTTTCTTTGGGGTTGCGCGCGTCGTACTAGTTGCTAAACCTGTCAATTTGTTACCAGACCCCCATCTGTCAATTTGTTACCAGACCCCCACCTGTCAATTTGTTACCAGACCCCCACCTGTCAGTTTGTTACCAGACCCCCCCCCCCCACCTGCCAGCTTGTTACCAGACACCCCCTTCCCCACCTGTCAGTTTCTTACCAGACCCCCACCTGTCAGTTTGTTACCAGACCCCCACCTGTCACTTTTTTACCAGACCCCAACCTGTCAGTTTGTTTCCAGACCCCCCACCTGTATATTTGTTACCAGACCCCCCACCTGTATATTTGTTACCAGACCCCCAGATGTCAGTTTGTTACCAGACCCCCCACCTGTCAGTTTGTTACCAGACCCCCCACCTGTCAGTTTGTTACCAGACCCCCCACCTGTCAGTTTGTTACCAGACTCCTACCTGTCAGTTTGTTACTATACTCCCACCTGTCAGTTTGTTACCAGACCCTCTCCTGTCACTTTGTTACCAGACCCTCTCCTGTCACTTTGTTACCAGACCCTCTCCTGTCACTTTGTTACCAGACCCTCTCCTGTCACTTTGTTACCAGACCCTCTCCTGTCACTTTGTTACCAGACCCCTCTCCTGTCACTTTGTTACCAGACCCCCCACCTGTCAGTTTGTTACCAGACTCCCACCTGTCAGTTTGTTACTAGACCCCCACCTGTCAGTTTGTTACCAGACCCCCACCTGTCAGTTTGTTACCAGACCCCCACCTGTCAGTTTGTTACCAGACTGACACCTGTCAGTTTGTTACCAGACCCCCACCTGTCAGTTTGTTACCAGACCCCCACCTGTCAGTTTGTTACCAGACCCCCACCTGTCAGTTTGTTACCAGACCCCCCACCTGTCAGTTTGTTACCAGACCCCCACCTGTCAGTTTGTTACCAGACCCCCACCTGTCAGTTTGTTACCAGACCCCCCACCTGTCAGTTTGTTACCCAGACCCCCACCTGTCAGTTTGTTACCAGGCCCCCACCTGTCAGTTTGTTACCAGACCCCCACCTGTCAGCTTTTTTACCAGACCCCCCCCCACCTGTCAGTTTGTTACCAGATCCCCACCTGTCAGTTTGTTACCAGACTCCCACCTGTCAGTTTGTTACCAGACCCCCACCTGTCAGTTTGTTACCAGACCCCCACCTGTCAGTTTGTTACCAGACCTCCACCTGTCAGTTTGTTACCAGACTCCCACCTGTCAGTTTGTTACCAGACCCCCACCTGTCAGTTTGTTACCAGACCCCCACCTGTCAGTTTGTTACCAGGCCCCCACCTGTCAGTTTGTTACCAGACCCCACACCTGTCAGTTTGTTACGAGATCCCCACCTGTCAGTTTGTTACCAGATCCCCACCTGTCAGTTTCACGAAGAGAGTGTTCTGGATGAAGAAGACCATCACTTATGATGTCGCAACACTTGTCGCCAGCATCTGCAATAAATGCAGCAATGCATGTATCGGTGAAAACAATAGGGAGAAAGCAGACCAGTTACGTGAACATCTTATGAACATTCACAAGAAAGTAAACGACCTTTTCCCACGCCTTTTAAGCGTATGGGGCATTAAGTGCTTGACATATATTTCGACACTCGGTGGAAAATGTTGTCAACATCTCACCTGTCATCTCTACATTCTAGGACATTACCTGGTACATGTTTAAGGCTTAAATCTACCTGGGAGCCGGTGTCATTTCGGATCCACAGGCGAGCCGCTACATCACAGCGGCTCCCAAGCAGTCAAATTAATCTCTAGCCATCAAGACGAAAGTGACATTTCTCGGAACTAACAGAAAATCTAGATCCGGCGATTACATAACTCGCCTTGTCTTGTAAAATCAAATTATCCATAGCATAAATGTTTTCATCAATGCTATCCCAAACCTTCACGCTTAAAACCCACATCTCCTACGCCACCCTAAATGGTCCATGTCTTTCACTCTATAAGAGATCGTTGTCCAAAATTGTTTTTTCTAACAGAGACCAGCATTTTGTTCTCGTTCCTTTGCTTATATTTCGTTTTTCAAAGCTCCTTCCTGTTCCCTGTTTTTCTCATTTCCGTTTCTTTCACCGGGTAATTACCTTTCCGCGCGATTATTATAATTATGTTTGTGTGAGGTATTACAACTATTATTTAATTCCATTGACAACGATTTGGGTGCGTAAAATTTCGATATATTTTTTTTTAAATACTTTATCTGTGCTCGTCGAGCTTGCCATTAAAGGTTTGTATTGCGTACATTTAGATTACAATCGTCTACAGCACATATAAACATCTGTCTTCAACATTTCAGCACAAAGGTCTTCAGCACATCAGGACACTTATTTCCGTATTCCGACAAAAGTGTCTTTAGCACATAAGCACATTTGTCTTCAGTATACTTGCATAGATTGCCTGTTAATTGAAAATTTCCGCTCAGAATTCTAAGTCTGCTTCTTCGCGATCACTGGCTGTAAACTCAGCTGAAAGTTCTGGTTTATCGGATCCTGGACTTGAGTCTTGTTTCAGAACTGGAGTTTTGTGTGTACATTCGTTTTACAAATCTCTCTTATGAGTTTGCAGACTGTTAGTTCCTCACCTCTCAGGCTGATGTACGCCGACTTCGAAGGAAACATCTGTAATTAGTCGACTCTTACGACATGTTTGTTAGGGGACAGTAGGTGTATCCACCCCCGCCCCCCACAACGGGACGCCGAAATCCACACCGCAAAGAATCCTTACAACACACCATTTTGACACTAGAGTTCTCAGTATATATATATATGCAGTTCTCAGTAACTACATAGTAACATAAGCTTCATAACCAAGCATTTTTCTTATCTTGTAGTTATTGAAAATTAGTGTCCTATTTTTAAACATTACCTTACTGTTTATATATTACACTGCCCATTTTCACGTAACTGTCAACAAGTTACACTACTAGCCATATTTTACACTGAACATTCTTACGTAACTGTCAACATGTTACACTACTAGCCATCTGTTACACTGAAAATTCTTACGTAACTGTCAACATGTTACACTACTAGCCATCTGTTACAATGAAAATTCTTACGTAACTGTCAACATGTTACACTACTAGCCATCTGTTACACTGAAAATTCTTACGTAACTGTTCACTACTGGCCACACTTTACACTGCCCATTCTTAATTAAACCAGTGATCATATTTCTACACCACTGTCCATATGTTGTAGCACTGTCCATATGTTGTAGCACTGTCCATATGTTGTAGCACTGTCCATATGTTGTTTTACTGTCCATATGTTGTTTCACTGTCCATATGTTGTTTTACTGTCCATATGTTGTACCACTGTCCATATGTTGTAGCACTGTCCATATGTTGTTTTACTGTCCATATGTTGTTTCACTGTCCATATGTTGTTTCACTGTCCATTTGTTGTTTTACTGTAAATATGTTGTTTTACTGTCCATATGTTGTTTTACTGCCTGTAGCAACACTCTTCTCATTGTCTACAAAGAAGGAAAAGTTTACATTAAAATGCAACAATGATGCTGTTTCACGCTCCAATACTCCAACCTTCCTGGTAATCGAGCTTGACAGTCGTCTGACAGACAT